TTTTGAACAGGAGAAAAAAATCTAATGAGAACGGAGGACTAGGGAGATTACTAGCCATCTGTGTGTTGGGTGGATTGGGGCAGGGAGAGATTAAAGGCAGGGATAACAGTAATCCAGGGGGAAGGTACAATGAATGACCAAACTAGGGCAGTGACAGTGGTAACTGAGGGGGATGACTGTGAGAAATTTTGTGTAGATAGAATTGGGACGGCTTAATGATTACTGGATGGGGGAGGCTCATATCTTTCTCTCTTGCTTTAAGTACTATCTATAAAGATAGGGACTATATGAAAGTTTGGAGGCTGGATAATTGGAAACACATTAATGACATCAGCAGAGAGAGGGAAGCAGGTTAAAGAGGGAAGATTATGTGCTTGGATTCAGATTAATTGGGCTTGTTAGGATATGAGATGAACGAGAGATCTAGTATAGTTTTAGAAGTTATCAGACTAGAGGTCATAGTAGAGACACTAGAGAACAGAGTATAAAGAGGAGATTCAAGATCAGATACAGGTGGATGAACACCTTGCATATATTTACAGGGCATGAGGTGATCATAAATAAGGTATAAGTACCTGCCAGAGAGGCTGGAGGAGATTCAGAATCATATCATGGAAGGGAGGAGTTTCAAGGAGAAGGAGGACAGCTTTGCGGGCCGGAGTGGGAAGTACCCTGAGAGGTTCTAGAGAACTAGCAGAAAGAAGACTTTTACAATATCCTTTCAAGATAGATAGGAATTAATTTATTTTTAATTTTAATTTTTATTTTTTTGAGATGGAGTCTCGCTCTGTCGCCCAGGCTGGAGTGCAGTGGCACAATCTCGGCTCACCACAAGCTTCACCTCCCGGGTTCCCGCCATTCTCCTGCCTCAGCCTCACGAGTAGCTGGGACTACAGGCACCCACGACCATGCCGGGCTAATTTTTTTGTATTTTTAGTAGAGACGGGGTTTCACTGTGTTCCCCAGGATGGTCTCGATCTCCTGACCTCGTGATCTGCCCGCCTCGGCCTCCCAAAGTGCTGGGATTACAGGCATAAACCACTGTGCCCAGCCCGGTGAGTCTAATTTTATGTGGGGATTAGGTACTAGAGTGTGTACAACAAGGCTAAAAATAAATCCAATGAGTCAAAATTGTCGTGGGAAATCTCCCAAAAAGTAAAGTATAAATGATTTTCTAGTATTGAATTTGGTGTGTGTGTGTGTGTGCCTGTGTGTGTGTGCATGTGTGTGTACACATGTATGTAATGGGCAATGAATGCAAGTATTATAGGAAATATAAAAACGATACAATTTTGAAGTCTTTTTTATGATGAGAAATAGAGAAAGAGAATGACATTGTTTACTGAGTGTGCAGAGTAGAATTTTAGAGTAGATTTTCCTCTTTAAGACAGAGTATCATTGCCTTATGTAAACTCTCCTATTCAAATTCCAGGAACTGTTAATAACTCAAGGCAGAGAATATTTGTGTTTCTGCTTTCCTAGAGAAAATTTAGTAAGATACAGGGAAACATTCTGCAGGTAGTTGGCACATATTTTTCATAATGGTGGCAATAAAAGACTTTGTTAATAACAGTGAGGACAAAATGAAGCTGGGCTGTCTGGGGCCCTGAAGTCAGCCTCAAAGTTAGTGCCTATTAGAAATGTTAGAAATGCTATCTCTTCTTCAGTAAAAGACACTGCCTGCAAATAGGTATATGGTATATATCCAGTTTGGTGAATTCTATTTCCTTAAATATCTTTTACTGTGACTTGTCTGAAGTACAGTGCCACTGGCAGAGTAACAACGTTGGTTGATGATGACCCTCATCATTTGGGAAAAGCATGTGTGTTGTATGGGAGAGAAGCTTTGAGAGTTTACAGTTGACAATGAGGGAGAACTGTGGGGCCCTTCTATCAACACTAGAGGGAAATGGGAGGAGAGACGTAGCCACATTGTTCTTATATTCTTTTTTTTTTTTTTTTTCGAAAAGAGGGCTGAGGTGTTAACGAAATTCATCTGGGAAGCATTTTTTTAGATGATGTCTTGCTCTGTTACCCAAGCTGGAGTGCAGTGAAGTGTGAAGTGATCACAGCTCACTGCAGCCTGGATCTCCTGGGCTCAAGTGATCCTTCCACCTCAGCCTTGGGAGTAGCTTAGACTGCAGGCACGTACCACCACAACCAGCTAATTTTTGAATTTTTTTTATAAAGACTGGGTTTTCCCATGTTACCCAGGCTGGTCTTGAACTCCTACTTTGACATCCCAAAGTGCTGGGATTACAGGCATGAATGCCGGCCCTCATATTCTTCCGTGGAAGTTAATTCCCTAACTTTCTCACTTCCCTTCAAGTTCTTTTCCTTCGTTCTTTTCCTTCCTTCCTTCCTTCTTTCTTTCTTTCTCTCTTTCCTTCTTTCTCTCTCTCTTTCTCTCTTTCTTTCTTTTATATACTACCTTCTCCCTTCCTTTGTTGCTAACATCAAAAGAATCCTTATATAGGGGTGACAGTGACAGGGATGGAGGCAGAGGTGAAATCGTACCTTCAAGCCAAAAACAGCCTGAAGGCTGAAAGACCAGGCTGCTCATCCTGGATGAAATCCACGATGCAGAGTGAGAATTTCTGTTCCTGTTTGCCTGCCCCTCTCCTATTCTGAGCCCATAAAAAGCCCCAGGACTCAGCCTCATGGAGGGGACTTTCCTGCCTTCAGTTAGGGGGACCACCCCTGCTTCCCTCTCTGCTGAAAGCTGTTTCATCACTCAATAAAACTCCCTGCCTTGCTCACTCTTTGATTGTCAGCACATCTTCATTTTTCTTGGGCATGGGACAAGAACTCAGGAACCGATGTGCAAGGCAGACTTGACTCAGGCGGACAAATTGTGCGAGGCGCCTCCTGTGGCAGGTAGTCTGCCCCAAGTTGGGCCTCCATCATTGCCGGTCGGAGATCCTTGACTGGCAAAGGGACTAAGAAAAATCCTGCGTTGGGTGGGGGTGGGGGGTTGAGGGTGAGGTCACTGGATCTAGGAGTAATTGCCAGGCTTGCTCTAGAACTTATTAATGCATTTATGTCTATGACTCCATCGTTTTCTATCCCCTTATCACTCTTTCTCATAACATTTACCACATGATGCCTGTTTTTTTGTTTTGTTTTGTTTTGGTTGTTTTTTGAGACTGAGTCTCACTCTACTGCCTAGGCTGGAGTGCAGTGGCACGATCTCAGCTCACAGCAACCTCTGCCTCTTGGGTTCAAGCGATTCTTGTGACTCAGCCTTGAGAGTAGCTGGGATTACAGGCACCCCACCACCACGCCCAGCCAATTTTTAGTAGAGATGGGGTTTCACCATGTTGGCCAGGCTGGTCTTGAACTCCCAATCTCAAGTGATCTGCCTGCCTCAGCCTTCCAAAGTGCTGAGATTACAGGTGTGAGCCACCATGCCCGGCCATAAAGTAACATCTTTATTGAGATATAATTCATAAGACATACAATTCACCTATTTAAAGGGTATAATTCAGTGGTTTTTAGTGTGTTCACAGAGCTGTGTAACCATTACCACAATCTAATTTGAGAACATTTTGATCAATTCAAAAAGAAATCCGATGCCCATGAGCATTCACTCTCCATTCCACCCTGTCCCTAGATTGAAAACGACCATGTGTTTTCCGTCTCTATGGATTTTCCTGTTCTGCACATTTCACATAAATGGAATCATATAATATGTAGTCATTTGTGAGAGGCTTCTTTCACTTTGCATAGTTTTCAAGTTCATCCACGTCACAACATGTAATCAGTACTTCATTTCTTTTTATTGTGGAATATAATAATATTCCGTTGTATGGATTATACCATGTTTTATTTACTCATTCCTCAGTGGATAGACATTTTGCTACCGGATTTAAAGTTTACTTTCTGTTTCTCATACTAATATATAAGCTTCATGAGGGTAAGAACATTTTTGTTGTTTCTCACTCAGTCCCTAGCATTTTGCACATTGCCTGTCTCATGTCAGTGTCAGGTTCAAATCTATCTAGCTGTGCTTACGCTGACGGGGGCCAGGAGGGTTCACAAGGACTCAATGGCTGATTAAATGCTTACAGATTCAGAGTTCTCAGGGGAGAACTTCTGCAAGCATTTTGGCTGTGGTCAGTTACTTTCAGGTTTTCATTACTTTTCGGTTTTCACAGTCGTCTGGAAGTGCCCATAGCCATTATCTCAGCTGCCTCTCTCTTTACTCTCTTGCCAATGGTGCCAGGCCACAGCAGGTGTTATCTTATCACCTCAGTCCACCAGACATATGCTTATCACTTTGAGGGGCCAACGATTTCACTGGAGGCTGAATTCCCTTGTCATAAATGGCTCCATTTTGAGACATTTCAGATTACACACCACTATTATACATCAGCCTAGCATGTAGAAATCACTCAGTACATTTGTTGAACACATAATTTAACCATTCATTCACCTGACCAACAGTCATTAAGCACTGACACATTTGTTTTCAACACTCCCTCTCTTCCAAGGCAGGCCACTCAGTATGGGAGATAAATATGACAAAGGATCTGCCCTTAAGAATCTCATAATCCACTGAAGTGACAACTGTGCAAACAAATAATTAAAGTAAAATGAAGAAGCTGGGCCGAGTGGCTCACATCTGTAATCCCAGCAGTTTGGGAGGTGGAGGTGAGGGGATTGCTGAGGCCAGGAGTTCAAGACCAGCTTGGCCAATTTAGTGAGACCCCATCTCTATTAAAAAATAATAAAATAAAATAACTGATTTTGAGAAAGGCTATGGACAAAGTGCAGCACATAGACGAAGGGCCCAATTCTGTTTGAGGGCATCAGAGGCAGCTTCCACAGCAAAGGCTTGGGTTGAAATTTACAAAAATAGGAGTTTGCCAGCTTGACAGAGAGGGAGCGGAGGTCAACCAGCTGCACACTTAAGCAGTCATGGAGGCTGACCTAGGAGCTGGACACGGAAAAGTAGCAATCCTGGAGCTTTGTATAGATGTGGGGAGGGAACATACAGGGGACTTTCACATTATAAAGAATTTTATATGCTCAAATTAAAGGATGAAAAATGTTCCCCCATGTACATAATAAATTGGCAAAAATGGTTATATTTGAGGGTGGACTAAGGAACTCCAGGAAAGAGGTTGGCAAACCAGGCACATGTTCTTGACTATTGCAAAGTAGTCGCGGGGGATACATGTATACTTTTGGGCAGGATTGTGCCGCGGTCCTATCAACATGCAGCAAAGTGACTTTGGGGACAGTAGGGAGGTGGGCAGGAGCCAGTGATGAGGGAATGGCAATCACATTTGACCTCTGATCTGTTTCTTTCCTCCTTCTCCTTGACTTCCCCATATAAATGTTACACGGGCATTCCCACACTCGGGTACGCACCAACAGAGACTGATTGGGGGTAACCGTGTCACTTGCTTGGAACGCTGGCACCTCCGCCCTGCATCCCAGGAGTGAGCAGTGAGTGAGGCTCGCGGCTGGGCCCTGGCTCCGAATCTTCGGGCTGGGAAGAGACTCCACCATCTGGGGGCGGCCTGGGGGAGTAGCCTCAGTGTCTTCCTGCTGATGCAATCTGCTAAGTCGCGAGTCTCCGCCGCGAGAGGGCGGGTCTGCAATCCCGCCCGCCACGTGTACTCGCCGCCGCCTCGGGCACTGCCCCAGGTCTTGCCGCAGCCGGAACCGCGCTCTGCAGCCGCAGACCCGGTCCACGCGGTCAGGGGCTGCGACCCTTGGGATCTGCCCTCCGCTCAGCTCCAGCTTCCCTCGTGGCCGACGGAACAATGAAGGTAACTACTTAGGATTTTGTCTGTGTTTTACAAAAATGTATGCATGAATCGAACCGGCGATTTCTCCAAGAAACACAGTTGGTAGGGAGGGGAGGAAGGCGAGACAACCATGGCTTATACCCCCCTGCAAACGTCTGCAATATCTTTTTTATCAGTCGTAGTTTGCAGGGACAGTGCATTCTGTTCAGATTTCGGTTTAACCTCCGCTCGCAGGATGTGCCTTCTCGAACTTTTTCACATTCGCTTTTGGGAACGGAGGTAAAAGGCTGCTAAAGCTCCCACCCCTGCTTGTGAAGTTTGGAAAGGAAGTGGGGGCTTCTCTCAGTTTCTCCTATGCACAGGAGGTGGGGAAGTTTGGAGAGGAGGTCTGGGGATGTCCCGGGCTGTAAATGGGCTTTCCTGCAGCGTGTGTGTGATGCAGGAGGGAGCGGCTGGAAGAGTTGACCCGGGTGGAGAGGGGAGGGAAAACGGTCTTTTCGCTGTTAAAAGCAGAAGGCTTGTCTTATTTTGTTTCTTGTGGAAATTAAAGCTTCTAGGAGCTACAAATGATAGACGCCTAAGGGCATTCATTTGTTAAACCAGTGAGCACCCTTACGGCTCTGATCTTGCTAATCAAGGATAATTAGCCTAGCTGCCTATTATTTCTGATGATTTAGGTGTAGGTATGTACATCGCTGAGTGTTTTGCTTTCCTGGTTTCACACACTGGAAAACTGCAATCGCATTTAAAATCCGAAGAACAACGTTTTCTAAGGAAAGTGAAGGATGGGCAGATATTCTTGCCATCTAATATTTTGGAATTGAGATGACCATAATGCAATCTGAACTTGTGGTAGAAATAAAGCCACGTTTCGGAGTTTCGAAGGAGGGAGATGAAGCATGGTTCTAAACTGCTCTTATCTACAACCCATCCCAGACCATAGTTTCAGTTAGAAGAAATAATATGTAAATAGTGCGTTTGTTCCAAACAAAAACTTTCACTACAGTTAAACAGTAACCGAGTGGAAACTGTGTATTTTGTATTCAACAGAGATCATGCAACCTTTCTTCTATAGTTAGAGGTTCTATTTCTGGCTTCCTCATGCTTGTTTCATTTTAGATGAAAAACACACTTTAGTTGATTATAGCTTTAGTAAGTAAAAGGAGAAAACTAAAAGAATGAACAGTCTTGCTTTTGCAGCTTTTTCCTGTCCATGTGGAGTTGTGGCTGATGACGCATTTTTGTAGGTCCAAAAACCCCTGTCCCTTTCACAAGGTACTTTTATAACATGGGAAACTAGATACCTACAAGTTGTCTCTTTTCTGTTCCCTGATATTTCCTGAGATTAAGAAAGAAACGATTGTATTCTAGGTGTGATCGAAGAAGTATGGGAGGTTCCGTTAAGTTAGTTTTATCACAATATTTCAAACATCTTTCCACTTACCTCTTAAATATGTATTGCTATCACAAGCTTAATTTTTTTAAAAAATGTTATTTGCACATGGCATCTTGACTGCCTTTGTCCTCAGCAAATTCTCCAGGCTTGAGTCATGCATGAGCTTGTATTTTAAGATGGACACATACAGAATGGGCAACTGGATAAGGAACATAGCATATACACTGAGTAGCATGTGTACAAAAATGGTAAGTCTGTATTATGACTTAATAAATTTAGATGGAGATTTAAAAATAATACACATGTGAATGGGATGGAGGCAAGGGAAGTCTCTCTGTGTGTGTGTGTGTGTGTGTGTGTGTGTGTGTGTGTGTGTGTAGGGAAGACCGGAGGCCTAGTGGGAAGAGGGGTTTTACATTCCAGACACAGGATGTGGCCCCTCAGGCTAGGCTCAGAGATATAAAGCTAGTTAAGCTGGCCTAACAAAAGGGTGGTGGTTAGAAAAAAGAAAAAAAGAGGTGGAGGTTGAGGAGGACAAGAATTTAATGCTGGTCGATATTTTCTTCTGATAAGTGTCAATAATGAGTAATTTCATTTGATTTCAGAAGTACAGAGAGAAAGGGGGAAAAAGAGCTTTTTCCATTTGTACGCAAGAATTTCTCTTGCTTTTCAGCCCATTAGAACAAGATCTAGTTATATGAAATGAGTTTAAAACCTTATTATGAAAGGAAGTTGAAAACATTTGATCACAACTGAGGTTTGTACTGTGAACTAAAACCAAGATGTGCTTTCTGACAGTAGTTGCGCAACTCTCTGAAAAAAGAAAAATAGCTCAGAGCGATCTGAGCTTTGTGAAGGCTACACAATTTATCAGGCCCAGAGACACAGGAGTGTGAGACTTCAGCCACACCCCCTGTAGCCATGCATGGGAGCAGTTATTTAAAGACGTTTTGTTCCTGACTGACTGCCTCACTCATTATGTTCCTGGAATTTGTGATACAAAAAACAATGTTTAGCCTATCAATAGTTTATATAGTTTATGTTATTTTAATATAAATTCTTCTCAAACAACTTAGAAACTGCCTCTTTTTTCTTTTAAAAATCCACTAGTAACTGCTGTATATATTCAGGGCAACTTGATTTGGTGTTTCCTTGGTTGCAGTCCTCAAATATGACTTCAGTATACTCTCTCCTTATATAAATTTTGTCTCAGTTTTGTCTGTAGGCTGACATTCCAATTGTTTTCATAATTATATATTTTGTTCCTTATTCTCCTTTCTAGAAATAAAGCAAGGGAAGTAAACAGCTGGAAAGCTGAGAGTGGTGTTATTAACCTAACTGAGAGGGCTGGGCTTATGAGTAAATTATTTCTGTGCATAAATGAAAGATTGTTTCTAAATGGTGGCTATCTTGAGCCTTTCGACTAGTTACATCTTTTGGGGTTTCAGGTTGCCAGCTTCTTTAAATGGCCTCTTCTCAATTGGTATAGGAAGTTGGAAAATAAACAACTTTCTCTGTTTCCCTTTAGTGTTGGTAACCACAATTTCTTTAAATAACAGACACCCACCCCAGGGAAACCCAGTGGTATGATCAACCTTATGCTCAGGAAGGTTTGGTTACTATATTGGAGAGTGAGAATCTGGGACCTTCCACTACAGACATAATTGTCCCGGGTATCCTCTAGTTTCTATCTGATGCTGTCATTCTTTTTTCTTTCCTTTCTCTATCTCTCTCTCTCTTTATTTATTTATTTTTTCTGACAGAATCTCACTTGTGTTGCTCAGGCTGGAGTGCTGCAGAGTGATCTCTACTCACTGCAACCTCCACCTCCTAGGTTCAAGCAATTCTTGTGCCTCAGCCTCCTGAGAAGCTGGGATTACCACCACACCCAGCTAATTTTCGTATTTTTTTGTAGAGACAGAGTTTTGCCATGTTGGCCAGGCTGGTCTGGAACTACTGGCCTCAAGCGATCCGCCCATCTCAGCCTCCTAAAGTGCTGGGATTACAGGCATGTGCTATCATTCTTTCTGAGCACAGAAGGAAACTGTCATGCACGTCTGTGTGAAGAGACCACCAAACAGGCTTTGTGTGAGCAACATGGCTGTTTATTTCACCTGGGTGCAGGCGGGCTGAGTCCAAAAAGAGAGTCAGCGAAGGGAGATAAGGGTGGGGCCGTTTTATAGGAGGTAAAGGAAAATTACAGTCAAAGGGGGGTTGTTTTCTGGCGGGCAGGAGTGGGGGTTACAAGGTGCTCAGTGGGGGAGCTTTTTGAGCCAGGATGAGCCAGGAAAAGGAATTTCACAAGATAATATCATCGCTTAAGGCAAGGACTGGCCATTTTCACGTCTTTTGTGGTGGAATGTCATCGGTTAAGGCGAGGCAGGGCATTTGCACTTCTTTTGTGATTCTTCAGTTACTTCAGGCCATCTGGGTGTATACATGCAAGTCACAGGGGATGCGATGGCTTGGCTTGGGCTCAGAGGCCTGACAGAAACGATGGCTGATCTGCTCATTTTATGGTCAAAAATATAGGCAGCCTTTGTATTGTAACATTATCACCTTAACAGCTGTCCAAACGCTCTATACATTTCACCTAACATATGGTAAGTGTTCCTACTGATGGCCTTTCTGGAGCCCCTGTCAGTTCAACTAAGGCCACGGTAATGGGATTGTATGCAGTTCAGCCAAGACATAAATGTGAGGTGCAACTCACATTTTTTAAATGTTTCAAATTAAGCATTTACGCGCTTTTATTCATAAACTCAACTTTGCAAATATTGGTAAACAGTTTCATCATAAGACCTTGTCGGTGACTCACAATGTCAATGGTGAAGGCAAAGGAGAATCTATCTTTCCTGGCACACCAGGGTTCAGGCATCAATTTCAACTATGCTTATAATTTGTCCTCTGAAGTCCACAAAGCTAAATTATGTTTCCCCTAAAAATTGAGTACTCATATCCTTAAAATAGCTTAGAAATTAGACTACCTTATGAATACAGCATAGCATGTCACATAAACATTTTTCTACTGTCATACCTTTTTGGTGGGAAAGACTATTTTGCAAAACATTTTTCTTGTGTTCAGTAATTAATGGGAAAAATAAAATCTAAAAGAAAGAGATAGTTATGTCGCAAAAATACAGGAAAATGGAGGAATGGAAACAGGGAAGATCAATAAAGAAAAAAATAGAGGAAATTACAAGTAATAATCCGAAGTCATGCTGAAAAACATTGGCTCTTTTTGATTGAAAGTTGTGAAATACTTGTGAAACCCAGCTAGTTCCATTAAGAATAGTCTTTAATCTAAAAAGAACCAATTCATTTGTCAGTTCTTTATTTCGATGTGTAGATTTGAATGTTTGATCAGTTGCATTTATAGTTTGTCTCTCAGTGTGAGAACTGTTTTTGCTGTTTTGACTATAAATGGATATCTGCTTTAGGAAGACTTAGGAAGCCTGGACATACGATTACAGATCAAATTCTATTTGATTCCATAGAAATCGAGACGGAAGGAGCACCTGTTGGGATATTCTAGACCAAACATTCCACAACTGTCTCTTAACGTGACTGACAAAGAGACACAGTTGAGACGAAGTTTGGGTATATCCTGGGATGAGGCCAAGGG